TCGATGCATGCCACGGTAGAGTCCCAGCACCTGGCTAAGTCCAAGTCGGACCCCGCGCGCTGAATCTGAGCCCGGACCTGCTGCCATTCCACGACAGGGGGGTGGCGCGCGCGACCGATCTTTGGCACGACGGGGAACTGCTTGGGCTCGTCGGGAATTCTGCAGCACATGCTAAACGGAGACAGGCGGACGGGGCAGAAGCACAGGCCGATGTGGGAAGAGCTCGGTGCTGACGTCAACCTCAACTGGGTCTGAGAAATGAACCAGCCCCTTTGACGCAAAGAAGAAGTCACGCACCGTGCCCTGGAGAGACTGCAAGCACGCTGGGTCATCTCACGAAAACCGTAGGCCCCCCACTGCCTGGAACCACGGGTCGAAAACCTCTGCTTCCATGTTCCAATCTCCACCGACAGCCCAGGGTATCCGCAACCGGGAGGGCCGATACAAGTACGCGGCGACAGCGCTCACAATGTCGAGATTGAACGCGCTGCGGCCGGCACCAATGATCAGGTACACGGATGCCATCGCTATGCCGCCAGGCCTACCCAAATTGACCAGGGCAGCGCCTGCTCTGGCAGGGGAAATCACATGGCTGTCAAACAACGGAGGCGCACAGACACACACATGACGAGGGGCAAGGACCGCCGCGCCCCCGCACGAACCACCAAGGCCCGTGCCCGCTGCGTCGATCCGCATGCCAGCGAAGCCTCGCTTCGCCACGCGCGCATGGACCTCCGCAAGCTTTAAGTCGGCCGCGCGGTGCTCTTGTCTTGACACATAAGAATAACATCATCATAACCAGGGCTCCCGACCAGGTCAGTGAGCGGTCCATGCGAGGACGCGTTGACTGCAACACCACCTCGGATCAGACACTGCGTCGACTTATCCCGGCCGTTAGCCTGGCGTTGCCCTGGCCTAACAATTTCAAATCAACCACCTGGTTGGGCAAAGGGTTTGGGCGAGGGGGGGGGGGGTCTCTGGCGCGCTGGCACCTGACCACGGCGACGAATAATCTGGTGGCTGAATCACTGGCCTCTGCGGGCCATCTCCAGCCGCCACTTCGAGAAATTGAAGCCAGTGCGCTGGCGCTGACCTCACTGCTCTGCCCGAGGCCGCAGCGGGCCCCCGACTGCTCGGGGCGGCAGCGGCGCATGGGTGAGTGCAGGAGGTCGCGCCAGCCGTAGAACCTCCAGCCCGCGCCGCCACCGTCGCACCGCCAGCCGCGTCTGCCGTCGAAGTCGTCGGAGTCGAAACGCCAGCAGCGCACGGCGCGACGACGCCGTCCTGACACCGCGGCGTGGCCTGGGCGGGCGCCGCCAGACCCAGCAACAGCAGACACATGACCACCATCTTACTGAGTCTTGGCGCGCTGAGCGTAGCTGCCAACGGCCTTACTGAGCCGCTTGACCTGGGCTCGCAGCTCGGCCTCCACTGCTGGGGGCTCTTGGTCGAACGCCTCGCGGTAGAAGGCATGCGTGTCTTCGAGGTCGCCGTCGTCGGGCGGCGCGGCCACGTCCGCAGCGCTGTACTGGCCTGCCCTCTCAGCCCCATCGGCAGGCGCCTGCGCGGGAGGCTCTGGCGGGGCTCTGGCTCGAGCCGCTGCAGGTCGAGCTGGCGTAGTTTCTCGAAGTTGTCCTGGATCGCCGAAGCCAGCTCGGGGCCCGCGCCGATCGCACCGAGCATCTTGCCAAGCTCTGCCACGGACAAGTCCAGGGTGTGGATCGCGGCCCGCAGAGAGTAGACCCCCACCTCGGGCTGAGGCGCCATGGCGGCCGCAGCCCGCCTGGCTGCCTCAGCCTCGACCAGCTCGCGGGAGGTGTCAGCCAGGGCGCGTTCAGCCTCAGCACTATTGGCCTGGATCTTGGCGCCTTCCTCGCCGAGCTGCTCGACGATGGCCTGCTGCCGCTCCTTCTCCTTCTCGAGCGCAGTGCACCTGTTGGTGAGCTGGTGCACCGATCGGCTTCTCCGAGAGAATCTTCTCGCGCAGCCTAGCTTTGCTCGGCGAGCAGGGCTGTCTTACTGTCGAGGAGGACATGGTTCTGAGCATCGCCAACGGCCTTAAGGGCATTGGTGACCCTCTCGAACGAAGCCTTGTCCGCCACCGCAGAGGAGGCGGCGCCGTCGTCGACCTCCATAGCTGCACACTGACCTCCGCCAGTGGGTTTGGTAGACTGCGCTTCCTTGAGCTTTGCCGCAAGAGACTTGAGCTCGCGGTCCTTCCCCTCGACAGTCTTCCTGAGCTTCTCTGCCTCAGAAGCTGCGCGCCGTTCAGCCGCGACCGACGTCGAAGGTGCACCTGAGCCTTTGGTCTTGGGCCCGAATAAGCAGACACCTTTGTCCTGGCCACACGAACGACATTGCTTGAGGTCCGCTCTGTTCCACCACCGTTGACCTGTCCGCTCATCGGTGCAGTGCTTGCGCAGCCACGGCTGCGCCTGCGAGAGACGGCGCTTCTGGTGTCCATTCATAGACAGAGAAAGAGACAGACAGGGAGCTAGCGTACTGGGAAGCAAACGTGATGTGAGTGTCTCCTGCCTGGGCAGGCACCTGTGGAGACACGAAAGCTGTGAGGGCCGCAGACCCCTCTTGCCAATGCCAAGCCTGAGCTAACCGCTACGGACTTGAGCCAAAATGGCTACGGAAGGGAGGAGGAGGAGGAGGAGGAGGAGGAGAAGGAGGAGGAGGAGGAGGAGGAGGAGGGAGGAGGAGGAGGAGGAGGAGGAGGAGGAGGAGGAGGAGGAGGAGGAGGAGAGGAGGAGGAGGAGGAGGAGAGGAGGAGAGGGCCATCGGGGGCCCGAATCGTGCCCCCCTCTGCGCGGGGGGCCCCGCGGGCAGGCCCCACGCGCCCCGCCCGCAAGTCGACCGACGCGGGATGGCGCGCCGCCATGGATTTTTTCGAGCGGCATGCACCGGTCACGCCGAACACGGCCCCGCCTCGAGATTCTGGGGACACTCCTCGGAGCCCTTGTGCGGCGGCGGCGACCGTGCCCGTTTCGCGGGCAAAGAGAAGACAGACGAAAATAAAACGCGCTGCAGTGCGCCAAACACTAGTAGCCACCTCGGGTCTGCGAGCATGCATCGGACTACAGGCGCAGCAAATTCCAGAGCGTTATGAAGACCTAGCCCCCCCACAGACGATACTCCATGAGCTGGTGTCGGCAGCCCGGCGGATTGAAGCCGAGATCAAGGCTTCGCGGCAAGCGGCTACGAACGATTCTATTCTACGTGCCGAAGCGCCATTCTACACACCTGTCGGAGAGCCTTTGCAGATGTTCTGGCCGATAGCTTGTGATCCGACACAGCCGTTTCAGGATGTGCCGGTCATCGATAAGTTGGGCAGGGGAGAATGTGGGCATCAAGAAATCTGGATTCAAGAATCTGGGTTCGTTGTGGGAGAGAGCCATGGGGCTGAAGCAGACGACGTCCAGACACAGAGCAGCGGTACTTGCGGCACCATCAGCTACAACGCAGGAACAGAAGAGCGAGGTGGGCGGGCAGTGGCAGCGGGCTCTCGCAGAGGCAGCTACGCAAAGTTTGGACCCGACGCCATCAGCTACGAGGGAAGCCGTAAAGCGAAGGACGCGACCGACGGCGCCAGCTACGAGGGCGAGGGCAAAGCGAAGGGCGAGCCAGACGCCATCAGCTACGAGGGAGGAGGCAGCACGAAGGACGAGCCCGATGCAATCAGCTGCGAGGGAGGAAACAACGCGAAGGACTTGCCCAATGCCATCCGCTACGGGGGGGGCGGCAATGCGAAGGTCGAGCCAGCCGCCATCCACTACGAGGGAGGTGGCGCAACGAAGGACGAGCCAGACGCCATCAGTTACGAGGGAGGTGGCAATACGAAGGACGAGCCCGATGCCATCAGCTACGAGAGAGGAAGTGCGAAGGACGAGCCCAATGCCATCAGTTACGAGGTGGTGGCAAAGCGAAGGACGAGCCAGCCGCCATCCGCCACGAGGAAGGTGGCGCAACGGAGGACGAGCCAGACGCCATCAGCTACAAGGGAGGAGGCAGCACGAAGCCCGACGCCATCAGCTATGAGGGAGGGCCCCAAACGAAAGACGAGCCCGAAGCCATCGGTTACGACGGAGTGGACGCCACCATAGGGGGGAGCAGCCAGATCCCATCGAGCATCCGAAAGCCATGGGAAATCTACGCGGAGGACCTCGAGGATACGCTCAATGGCCTCAGCGACACAACGGAGGAGGCAGTCCTGCGAGCACGCCTCGATACCGTGCAAGCAGCGGGGGCCAGTGCGGCCTTCGAGCGGCTCCCGAAGGAGGAGCAGCACGCCTTCGAGGAGGTCTCGATCGTCGAGCTCGCGGCCTACGCGCACTACAGGCGCCATTATACCCGAGGCCGTGGCGCGGACGGAGAAGAGCAGGCCGCCCAGGCCTGGAGCTCCCTGGACAGCGAGGAGATGGCGGAGTGGACTACCGAACGCCCACTGGACGTACTCGCCGCGGACCCGCGCCTGGCGCCGTACCTCCAGCGCGGCCGGCCCCGCAAGCGCAGACCGAGAAGAAGGGTCTCGTTCGCCAACGACGTGGGCAAGGAGTACGACAGCTGCGACGACTTCCCGAAGCCCTACCAGAAGGTGCGCTTCAACCTCCTCGGGAGGTGCATGACCACATCGAGAACCGCGGCTTCCTTTCCTAGAACCGCGGCTTCCTCATAGACATCGCCCCCCTCAGGGGTGAGCGTGCCGCCCTCCCACAGGGGGAGGGGTCTGGCGGCCTCCGAGGGGGGGCCAAGTTCGGGAATGACGAGTTCGGCGATGACCTGGACTACGTCATCTGAGCGGAGGGGGAGGTGGAACCCCTCCGCGGCCTTCGGCGGAACAGACCGCCTTTGCGCCCGCACGCCTGAGGAGGAGGAGGAGGAGGAGGAGGAGGAGGAGGATAAAGAGGAGGAGGATAAAGAGGAGGAGGATAAAGAGGAGGAGGAGGAGGAGGGGGCAGGAAAGGTGCAGGCCGAGAGTTAGACGATACTGCGTCCTGAGGGCCTGCAGCTCGGCGGTCAGGCGGTCCACCTCCGCCCTGCTGCGGCGCGCCTCCTCCTGCGCCTCCTCCCGCGCCTCCTCCTCGGAGCTCTCGCGGCGGCCCTCCTCCTGCGCCGTGGCGCGGCTCTGGCGCAGCTGCTCCTCCTCTGTGGGGACAGCAAGCGATCTACCGATCGGGGTGCGTCGTCGTCGTCATCCTCGTCGCCGTCTTCTTCGCTTCCGTCGTCTTCGTCGTCGTCCTCGTCGTCGTCTTCTTCGTTTCCGTCGTCTTCGTCTTCGTCGTCGTCGTCGACGTCGACGTCGTCGTCGTCTTCGTCGTCGTCGACCTCGTCGCCCTCGTCGTCGGGACCGTTGCTCCCCGAACCTCCCGCGGGGTGCGCTCTCGAGCCAGAGCTCCAAGGGCAAGCCCAAAGCCGTGGCCACGGGGGCCTCTCCCGCGAGAGGCCCACGGAGAAGGTGAAGACGAGCCGATCGGGCAGCGGCATCGGCCGGCCAGGCTCGTGCCGTGCCGACGTCTGGCGCTGACCCACGAGGCCGCGGGGATCATTCCGTCTTGGACGATCGGCCGTCTCCGAGACTAGGGGGCCACGTGCGAACCCTACCCCTGCCCCCCACGATTTCTGAGGGGGAGGGTGGGGTCCACTTCGCTCGGGAGCTCCCGAACGAAGTGAACGCCACCCTCCCCCTCAGAAATCGTGGGGGGTAGGGGTAGGGTTCGCACGTGGCCCCCTGGAGACGTCCGATCGTCCAACACCGGCCGGCCCCGGGTCGCCGGCAGCGCTCGACGCTGGACGCCGGCGGCGGGGTCGCCGCCGCTCGGCACGGCGCGAGCCCGCCGTGCCCCGTCCCCCCCCTGCGCCTCGGCGCGCAGCCTGCCGCGCGCCGCCGTCGCCGAGCGCAGCTCCCTGCCCTGGGCCTCCAGCTCGCCCTGCGCCTTGGCGAGGCGGGTGCGCGCGGAGCTCAGCTCGGCCGACAGGCGCTCCACCTCCGCCCTGCTGCGGCGGGCCTCCTCGGGGCGCATCGCTGGGGGGGGGCGGGCGGGACGCACGAGGACGTGCTGGTGCTACGATGTCCTCCTTGGAGGCGTGCGTCCGACCCGAGCATGTAGCGCACAAGCATCTTGCTGTATACATATATATATAGTTGTTCCTCGGAGTATCCATAGTATATATCGTATATATAGTATGTTATGTACGTATATTATAATTGTAGTATATAGTAGTAAATATATGTATATGTAATATATATATATATATATATATATATGTGTACTCCTCGAGGTGGTGTATATATATATATATATACATATATATATATGTATATATACCACTTCCTGAGCGGTGAGGGGCAGAAAGCGCCCGCCACGGGGCTCATACAGCGAGATTTCTCGGCGCGCGCGTCGCCCTTGGGGAGGCGACGCACACAACGTACAAGTATCAGTGCGTCGGTGTGGCGCCGAACTGGCTCAAGGGGGGCGGGGGGGG